GTGTGTGTGTGTGTGTGTGTGTGTGTGTGTGTGTGTGTGTGTGTGTGTGTGTGTATACTTCCCTATGTATTTGGTTTGTTGATTTCTGCTAGGCCTGTTTAGCATTGTGTTCAGTAAGAATCATAGTCTGCTTTAGCTTCAACTTTAGCTTTCCATCAACATTCATACATTGTACATGTTTATCAAAATAAATGTCTGTCTTGCTTCATGTTCTGATTACCCCTTGCATCTTTTTTCAACCATTTCCTGACTGGTGGACTCCAGTTGTTTCTTGTAACGTTCCACTTGCCTCAATTTTATGGTAATTCTTTTGATCAACCATCTGGTTCACTTAGTCTGTTTTTCCTCAAACATCCTGTGTGTGCACTGAGTGCCAGCAACTTACATGTGAATATAAATCATAGAATCCCTACAGTGTGGAAACAGGCCATTCGGCCCAACAAGTCTACACTGCCTCTCCGAAGAGCATCCCACCCAGACCCATTCCCCTACCCCTGCATTTCCCCATGTCTAACCCACCTAACCTAAACATCGATGGACATTATCGGGAATTTAGCACGGCTAATCCACCTACCCTGCACATCTTTGGACTGTGGGAGGAAACCGGAGCACCGAGAGGAAACCCAGAGCAGACACAGGGAGAATCTGCAAACTCCACACAGTTGCCCGAAGGTGGAATTGAACCTGGGTCCCTGGTGCTGTGAGGCAGCAGTGCTAACCACTGAGCCACCGTTCTTTTGATTTGTTCATGTGATGTGGGCACTGTTGACAATCCCAGCATTTATTGTTCATTCCTAATTGTGTAAAGTTTGTGGCCATTCAGTTTTTCAAATGTTTGTCCAGGTGTGTCATTTTACTGTTGCTAATTGTACAGATTTTGATACAAAGGTAAAAAAAGGAATATTTAAAGAAAAGGAGAGTCGTATGATGATCTTATTGACTGGTGCATCAGCCTCGAGGGTTGAAATGATCTACTCCTCCCGTTATATCTCCTCATGAGTCCCACAACATGACCGCCACATCATGCCCTTGCACACCTTTGGCTGGAGACAGTAATTGATCTGGGGTCTCCGTGGGTGGCATTGCTGGGAGAAGACGCAGCTTCCTTATTGCTGGTGCCAGCATTTATACCTGCTGACCTCTGACTGGCAGCTCTTAATAGGCATTCATTTAATATGTTCAGTCTTCTGGAGAGGAAGCTCTGGGAACTCTTGATAGCTATCAAGCTGCTGGTCGAGACCCCTGTCACGTGCATTAAATACTACCCTCAATTTCTTAACAATGGTTTGCACAGAGGGCAATGTAAACTATGGCATACATATGTCATTCCCAGGAGCTGTGCCTGGGCCTGTGATGTCCAAGTGTGTATTCCTTCACTTAACTAGAATGCTTTCAGAGCATATTGTCACTCTGTTCCGTGCATCAAGTGCTCTTTTGTTCATAGCATTAGAATTCTAATTAAACAACGGATAAATAGGCTGATAGATACCCTTTGTTAGCCACTAACAGTCTCCATTAATAGCTATTCACCCTCCTGGCTGGATCGTTATCCACTACTTTGTCTGTCCAACTGTCCTTCGCTCTCTTTGGGCTCTATCCCCAACTATTGTTTACTCTTTAGCCCACGTACACACTCACCACCCCCCTCCCGCCAACCCAATCTGCTGCATATAAACCAACACTTTCCTAGCTACTCTCAGTTCTGAGGAAGGGTCACTGGACCCAAAATGTTAACGCTGATTTCACTCCACAAATGCTGCCAGACCTGCTGACCTTTTCCAGTAATTTCTGTTTCTGTTTCTGATAGATGTCCTGATCACCACATCCTTCTGTTATAGTTCAGGCCAGATCCTAAATGTAATATTTTTTAGAAGACAAGTGTAAGGCACTCTGTGCCAGATATGATTCGATTGGTCCACCACTAAGCTTTAACCAAAACACACTTTATTCTTACAATGCAGTTTAAAAACAACAAAAAGAAGAATTGGCATAACTTTACTCTATTGAAATACTTCACGAAGTAATGTGTTACTTAACCACTAATCAACTGTTCCAATATAAGCAATGTCCCATAAACACACCATTGGCAAAGACCATTTGGCAACGCAGTTATTATTCTCACATGCTGTTCCCTCCAGTCATAGAGTCATACAGCATGAAAGCAGACCCTTCAGTCCAACCCATCTATGCCAACCAAGTTTCCCAAGCTAAAGTGGTCCTACTTGCCTGCATTTAGTCCATATCCCTCTGAACCTTTCCTATCCATGTACTTGTCCAAATGCCTTTTAAATGTTGTAACTGTGTGCCTGCAATTACCACTTCCTTGGGCAGATAATTCTAAGTGCAAACCACCCTGTGTGTGAAAAAATTTCCCCTCAAATCCCTTTTAAATCTTTCTGTTCTCACCTTATCTATGCCCCTCATGATTTTATAAATCTCTTTAAGATCACCCCCTCAACCTCCCAGGGTCTAGTGAAAAGAGTCCCAACCTGTCCTTATAACTCAAACTTTCCAGTCCTGGCAACATCGTTGTAAATCTTTTCTGAACTATCTCCAATTTAATAATATCCTTCCTCTAGTAGGGTGACCAGAATTGTACGCAGTATTTTATAAATGGTCTCCCCCATGCCCAGTACAGCCGCAACATGACATCCCAACTCCCTTATGCAATGGAAAGATATTTAAAAACAATATGAACTAAAAGCACAGTAATTCACAAGCAGTAAAAGAAAAATACTGCAAATATATTTGAAATAAAAAAGAAAACTTATGGAAATACTAGACAGCCCAGTAGAAAGAAACACCGAAAAAAATCTGCCCCTTTTGATTTTTAAGAGGAAGCCTTTCTGTCTAAGACTTCACTCTAGCAGCAGAAAGCTCAAGCTTTCAGCCCCAGCAGCCAGCAAAACATTGTTCAACTAACCAAGAGCAAAACTAAAGTCTTCTGGGTCTGCGTGAACCTGTCCCTGCCCATTCATGATTCTTTTGTCTCAATTTAAAAGAAAACACCAAGGGAGAGCTCAAAGCTGTCTATTAACTGCCTGTCTGAAGGAAATATTTTGGCACTAGTGTGACAACATGCCTCTGCAGGGTACACAGGACAAAACACATCTCTTAAAGATACAGTACAGTCCCACATTTTTACTGGTTTTGAAGGAGAAGAGACAAAAAATTAGGGAAACCAAATAGGTTTTAAAAGGTGTTTTGAAGAATTTGAAAAGTTACAGTAAATATTAAATTCCTGATATGAATTTTTTTCATTTATAAAATCATCCCATTGGCTATAATCCAATGATTCAGCAGCTAAAATAAACATTATATGAATGCGCCTAAGCTAAATTCGAAATCAGTGATTGGACTGTTGGAGATCTTAAAATATTCTGTTTTCATATTTGTTTATGAGACATGTGCATCATTACCTTCTCCAGGGCAATTAGAGAAGGACAGTGACCTGTTTTCTTGAATTACTGTAGTTCATGTAATCTAGGGGTACATCTACAGTGCTTTTAGGAAGGAAATTCCAGTAGTTTATCCCAGTGACATTGAAGGAACAGCCTGGTGTGTGGCTTTCAGGGGTTTTAAATATGGTGGTTTTCACATGCACCTACTGCCTTTATCTTTCTGGTTGTTAGAGATTGTGGATTTGGTTGGTGTTATCAAAGGAGGTTTAGTGAGTTGCTGCACTGCATCTTAAAGATAGTATGCAGTGCTTCCACTATATGCCAGTGTTGAAGACAGTGAATGTTGAAGGTGGTGAGTGGGATGTTTTGTTCTGCATGGATCAAACTTTTTGAATGTACAGTACACATACATGCAAGTGACAATCTGACTCTTGACTTGTGCCTTGCAGGTCATGTTTTGTGGAGACAGGAGATGAGTTAATTGCCACAAAATTCCTAGGTTCTGATCTGCTCTTGCAGCTACAATATTTATATGGCTGGTCTAGTTCAACTTCTGGTTAAGGGTAATCCTTAGAATTTTCATAGTGGGGGATTCAGTGATGTAATGACATTAAACATCAAGAAGTAATGGTTAGAATCTCTCTTGTTGGAGATGATTGTTGCCTGGAACTTGTGTGGCATAAATGTTACTTGCCATATGTCAGCATAAATGTGGGTATTGTCCAGATCTCGCTGCGTTTGGGCATGGACGGCTTCAGTATCCGAGGAGTTGCAAATGGTGCTGATCCCTGTGCAATCATCAGCAAGGATCCCTGCTTCTGACAGCATGATAGAAGGAATCAACTGAAGGTAATTAGGCCTAGGAACCTACATGAGGAGCTCGAGGGCTTATGTGGTGCAGAGTCAGTATCTCTTACTCTAATCCAGGAGGTCCAAGTTCAAGTTCCACCTGCTACAGAGGTGTGAAATAACATCTCTGAACAGGTTAGTAGAAAATATTTACTCTGAGGAACTCGTGCTGTAATGTTCTCGGTCTGACATTATTGACCTTCAACAACCACAACTATCTTTGTTTATGCTAGACAAGACTCCAGCCAATGGAGTACATTGGTACCATTGCTGTAGCTGTACTGCATTAGTTTGTCTAGGGGTGCGGAACAAGCCTGTAGTACTATTGATGGAATGTTGTCAGTGTCCATTATCTTTTCAGTAACTACTGCCTTCAGCCATTTCTTGACATCACGGGAATTGAATCAATTTATTTCCTAATTATAATGTGTTACAACAATTTGTGAAATCATAAATGAACAGAGCCTTCAGTAAAGTCTTTAAAATTTCTAATCAGCTGCCCGCTACTGCTTTAGTACAGCTAATTGACATTTTGACAGCTAATATGCATCCTACTCTAAACAAAAATTTTTTTCCCAATGGAGGTAAAGTCATAGAGTCACACAGCACAGGAACAGACCCTTCAGTCCAACTCGTCCTTGCAGATCAGGTTTCCCAAACTAAATTAGTCCCATTTGCCTGTGTTTGGCCCATATCCCTCATATCTTTCCTGTCTATGTCCCTCTGAATATCCTTTAATTGCTGTAATTGTACCTACCCCTACCACTTCCTCTCACAGTTCATTCTATATGTACACCACCCTCTATTGAAAAAGTTGACCCTCAGATCCTTTTTAAATATTTCCCCTCTACCTCAAACCTATATCTTCTAGTTTTGGACTCTCCTAGGGAAAAGACCTTTGCTATTCACCTTATCTATGTCTCTCATGTAATGCTGTATCTGTTAACCTGCTGGATATCTTCACGTGCAGTACAGTATGCAATAAAGTAATGATGCTGACCATGAAAATGTAATCCTGCGCCAGTTTTTTGTTTATTATTGCAACTTGTTCAATTGCTCCTAGGTACTGAAGTTAATTGTGAACTTGCGTTTTGTAAACATCTCATTGTATATGCTTTAGATAAATCTTTGTTTAATCCCACCTAAATTATATAAAATCTTGGATTATTTCACAGGTGCGTCATCGTTGGTATGAGCTGGTCATTAAACATAAACACACAGTTGCATACGGGGACTTGATAAAGTTTTTGGAGCAGGATCAGGTACTGTATTTAAGTACGTATTTAAAAAAAGAAAACATACAAAAATAAAACTTAGAAGAAAAACATGTTAAAAACACTTGTAAATTTCTAAAAGCAAACAATAGTTTCCAGGATATAATTCTTGCTCTGAGATTTTGTTTTAAAGGTGTTTCCACTTCACCTACTGTGGTACTGCAATAAATTCTATTAATGCAGCAATAAAGTATATTAGATGTCTAGGATGTCTTTATTACTGTTTTCATAACCACCTACTATCATACATTTAGAAAGCAATGAATACGTTTAAAAATTGTGAAGTTACCTTCATCCTGTCTTCTATTTTGCTTATTCTGCCTTCCTCTCCGTTTAGTGTTTCTCATATTTTCATTCACATATGCCATCACATCTGCTTTTAGTTTGAATGTCATTTGACTTTTACTTATAACTAATGTTAACTGTTCCAACTAGTCAGAATCGTCTTGAAGGAAAAATGATTTTGTAGATGATTTTGCTTACCAGTTTCTTTTACTTTTCCAATTCACAACATCTATTTTGAAGAAGGGTCCTCCTTGGAATGGTTAAACTCTAATTGACTGAAAGTATGTTTGAAGTGCTGTTCTTTTAGTTAATTGAGTGCCAGAACTCTCAAGGTGGATACCGTAATCAGCCATGCAGTCCTAATGTGATTTGGCTTTGTTACCAGAAAGTACACAAACCTTTCTCTCAGGTATTCTTCCCTTGTGTGACAAAAGACAGGGCGTTTTCTCAGACTTTAATTAAACAAACCATTTCTTTGTTTAACTCCTTAGGTACAAGCATTCAATATAAAATATAAATTCATTGCAACATTTACTTCTAACTTCATTTAGTTTAACTTCAATATTAACTCACTTCATTTAACTTCACTTTAACTTGAAATAAATTCATATTTAACCCTAACTTTAACTCCGAGTTTGGCTTGAAACAAATACTACCCCAATTCGAGTGAGGTGGCAAACTTTGCTCTCAGTGTAGGTATTGCCTTATGGTTCATTGTCTTCTCTGAAGACAACTTCAGAGCCCTCAAATTTGGTCTTGATGACTTTTTTGTGAGAATCCTTTGTTCTGCTAACTTTTATCATTAAATGTGATCATCCTTCTAGAAATGTCTAGGAAATCTGGTCCCAGAGGTGCGACCAAAGGCGGCTATAAAACACAACCAAACAAAAACCATGGGCATCATGCTGGCAACAACAACAGAGTGTGTGTCAGAGAGCCATGTAAGCACAAGCACACACATAGTGATAGTGGCCAGACTGATCAGAGCGGAACAATCTTCTGCCTAGAAAGATAACAGATTATCTACATTGTGAGTGTGACACGAAATGTGGATGAAGCGAAACAGTTAGAAAATTTTATTATTATCAGCGTCCATATCCCAAAGAATAGTGACATAGTGTTCGTCAGCATCCTGAAGAATATGTATTTGGATAGTTGGAAGTCAATGATACAACCTATGACGGGAAGGTTAGCTGCATATAATGGGCCATGCGTTAGCTTGTATTGATACATCGACATTGAAATGCACCTATGGTAAATTTTATAAACTATTAACTATTTTACCTGGTGGATATGAGTGAACCAACAATAGCATGGTTGCTGGCATGTGTGGAGCTCAGTATTGTGACTATTTTTGATCGCAAAGAGGTGACCACGGAGAGGTATTTCAGGAGGTGTGATTTTCAAAGGAAAGCAGGTGCTTGTACTTGAAGATCTTCACTTGAAAATATTGTCACCATTTAACAAAGCACGAGGGCAGAAAGCCAATAAGGCACCTGGCAAGTAGTTTGTTGGCCAAGGATCAACAATGATATTGAGAAGGCAGGCACTGTTATGTACGTGGGGAGTTCCTGGAGCAAAGGGGAAAGAACAGAGTTGAGGTAGGAGGAGATGAGCTCGGTGGTGCAGGGGCAGGCGGAGACAATGGGTCGACCGAGGCAGTCGGGGTTATGAATTTTGGGTAGGAGATAGAAATGGGCAGTGTGGAGTTGGGGAATTATGAGGTTGGAGGCAGTGGACGGGAGATCTCCTGAGATGATGAGGTTGTTAATGGTCTGGGAGATGTCATGTAGGTGGGGAGTTCAGATGTGCAAAGCATGCTAGAGTTACCAACCATATCAAAACAAAACTTCTGCATCCTCATGAAATTCCATCACATTTTTCGTTTAAAATTGCAAAATGTTAGGTACTTCCATGGTGAAATAACTGCACAGAAACCAGTATCCCATCACCAAGTCACCCTTTATTTACTGGTGCACAGTACACTGGCTTTAGCCACCCAGCTGGAGTCAGTCTCCCGAACTGAGGAGATTTTTAAATCCCCTGTTTATGTTCGTCAGCCAGGGATTCCTGACTGAGGTTGTTAATCTGGGCCCATCAAGGATCTTGTAGTCAAGAAGATCCACCTGATTCCAATCACTATGCATGGCAACCATTTTCTAACTATTATTCCAAGTTTCCAGCCATCAGACAATTGAAGGGCAACTCAAGTATGCCTGTAATATGCAAATAGGGATGAATCTTATGTTTTCTATGATTAAGTTTCTTCATGTGTCATGAGGGTTTCTCTTCACAAGGCCTGGTGAGTTTTTGCAGTGCATCTTACAAATTTGCCTCATTCACTATCTACTCTGCCCCTATGGTGTGCCTCATTAGATTTTATCCCCACCTTACTTTGCATTGTTCCCAAAACAACTCAGCACTGCTAGGATATTCTGGAATTGACTGGCATCCCTGATGCTATGCCATATTTAGAAAGCCATTATGTACCCAGATACGCACAGTTAGTGCACAGCTGTCTTGTGTAGTTCATGATATTTGCCCTGTACATGGCAGAGAATGGAAAATTACAACCCTCTTTGGGCAGGGTCCTGGAAGTTCTGCTAGATGCAATGGTACCAAAGTGGGCATCATCTTACCCCAGGCCTAACAGAGTAGGTAACAACACCAGATACAACAGTCTAGTCTGAAGTTGACATCTGGTTTGGTGGTGTCTCGGCTGTCTGGAGGAATGCAAAACAATATGGGAAGAAGGTCAATGACCTTTTCCATTCAGCAAGTGTTTGTGCCACCTTCTACTCTGCTATACTTCACATTCATTATCTCTGTGACTGTGCCCACCACCCACCAGAGCTTACTAATCTCTGGGATTCTTTATCACAGAGCTATTGAGTCTGGCCATTAAGAAAATTCAAGGTTGAGAGAGACAGATTTTTAATCAGTAAGGAAATTACATGACCTAATTGAAAGGTAAAGCAGACTCAATGGGCTGAATGGCCTACATCTGCTCCCACAACTTATGGTCTTCTGGCGTATGACTACATGCATGTATGAAACTGCTTAATCAGCATGTAATTGCATGGACTCTGCATCTTACTCGGGTTACCTGTTCCCCCACAGAAAAGTCTAGAGTGTGCGGTGAACATGGCTCCTATGAGGTCACAAAACTGAAATCAAGTGTGAACATATAGCATCCAGCATTTCAGTTGTGCATAAAACACATCCAAAGGTAAACCCACTGAATGAAATGTACCATGAAAACAGTCGGCTCTCCAACAATATGCCAGATACCAATATATCTACAAGTGAAGAATACCCAAGTAATGAGTCTTCTGTGGGGGAATAGGTAACCCGAGTAACATGTGGAGTCCATGCAATTACGCACTGATTAAGCAGTTTTATACATGCATGTAGTCATATACTATGAAGGGGGAACGATGCTAATGAGCAAGCAAACAGGATGTAGAACATGTACACAGTCTAGCTTGGAGCGTGCTGTGTGAGGTTATGCTGTTGTGTTTTCCTGTCACATTAGTTGCTGAATATGAAGACTGAGATAAACAGAACTAATATTTAGCTTACCAGTCCAGGTGTTAGATTGCTTGGCACGTATTTATCAATCATACAGCCACAACATAGTTTAGGATGAGCATTTACTTATGTTTTCGTGATAATGCTGTGGAATGGAGTTTACATAAGAAAGGAATACATTAATAGCATCTTTCCATGTCCGTAGGCCATTCAGAAACACTTCGCTTTAAAGGGATGTTTTTGCTGTTTTGTCACAGGTGTTATTTACTCAGAATCTTTTTGTTATATCTTATTAATTTGGTGGATGGAAAACGTAACACACATGCCTGTTTCATATAGACAAAACACTTAGTACAGCTCATTTTACAGTGTTGACAAAATTATCCATACAGTGCAATATTAATTTACTAAAACAGCATACAAGCAGGTAATATTTGGAACATATTTGCAGAACTTTACAACACAGAAACAGACCAGTTGACACCTAAAGTATTGCGATTGGTTTTCTCCATATGGACTGCCAAGTCATACTCCTGTTTCCTGGTTAGCCTTGATGATAATACTGTGTGAGTGCAACCAAGGTGTTGATTTCAGAATCCAATGACCAAATGGGGGAAGCCAAGCTATGATAGTGTTTTGGTATGAGCCCTGACATAGGGTTTCAAAAGCAGGAAAGATGTAGTAAATGCTTTAGCATATTCTATGCTAGCCTGTAATTAACAGGATGAAATGGACAAGAAATAATAACTGGCCCTAAAACTCTGAACTGACTTGAGAACTCTGTTACTACGTCTCTGGTGTATCAAGCATGACCTATGTTCTATTACCTCATTAATCGATCTTGGGGTGCCATCGTTTGCCACACTATTAATTTCCTTTTGGATATTTGGGATGTCTTTTCCTTTAAGAAGAGCTTAATGTGTAAGCTGTATTAAGGAGATATGAATTAATATCAATATCAATAGAAACATAAAAATAGAAACTAGAATAGGCCATTTAGCACTTTTGAGCCTGCTAGCCATTCATTAGAAGTGTGGCTGATCGTCTAATTCAGACTCCTGTTCCCACTTTCTCCCAAAACTCTATGGTCCCTTTAGCCCTAAGAACTATTACCTAGCTCCTCCTCGCAAACATTCAAAGTTTTGGCCTTTCTGTGGCAGAGAATTCCAAAGGCTCTCATTTTTTGGGTGAAGAAATTTCTCCTCAGCTCAGTCCTAAATACCCTATTCTATCTCCTTAAACTATGACCCCTAGATTCCTGAGTCATTGGGAGCATCCTTTAGTCTGCCTTCTCCTGTTGAAATTTCACAGATTTCTATGTGATCTCTCCTCATCCTTCTAAAATCCAGTGAACGTAGTCCCATCGGATCCAGTCTTCAATCATACACTAGCCCTGTTATCCCAGGAATCAGTTTGATAACCTTAGTTGCACTCCCACTGTTACCAGAACATCCTTCCTCAGAAAACAGATCAAAACTGTACACAACACTCCAAGTGAGGCCTTACCAAGACTCTATACATTTACAGCAGGACCTCCTATCTCCTGTACATGAATTCTTTCACTATGAAGGTCAACATACCATTTGCCTTCTTCATTGACTGCTGCATCTGCATGTTTACTGTCAACAAGTTGTGTACAAGGACTCGCAGGTCTTGTAACACCTCCTCCTTTCCCAATTCATTGCCATTCAGATAAGGATCAATTTCCCACTTACTCAACTTGTCCAAATCATACTGAAACATCTCTGCATCCTCTTCAGTTCATTCTCCCACCCAGCTTTGTTTTGTCTGCAAATCTGGAGATGTTACATTTAGTTCCCTTATTGA